TTTACTTGAATTTATTTCACTTCTATTATATCATTTTTTTATTTCATAATCTTATTTTATTTTATTCATTTTTTTCGTTTAACAATATAAAATACAAAATAGAATACATAAATAGATAAAAGTCAATATTTGATCAATTAAAATAATATTATTGATAGTGAAAAATTATGTTAAATAATTTTTAAACTAATTTAATCATTTAAAAAATATAAGAGGGAATTTACCTTAAAATTTTTCAGATTGAAACATCTTTTTTAAGTCAATTTTTCCTTTTACGATAGTCATCTCATACATGTGTGTTGCACGTGTTTCTCTACAGTACTTCTGAATACCAGATGTATAATATATAAGTTGAAATTTCAACTATATTTATCTTCATTAAATGGATTAAAAATTTTATTATATATTCGTATTCGTTAGGAATAACAAATTTAAAAAATATCTTAAAATTGAGTATTTAGAAATTATTTTATTTATAAAAAAATAAAAAATAAAAATTTAATTAATATTTCAAAATCAATGGAACAAGTTATTGAAAAATTTAAATAAATGAAAAAATTAAAAAATATATTTAATATAATAAATTCGATTCCTTTTATAAAATATGACATAAAATATTTTTGATGAATTATAATTATTTTTAATATTATAATATATATATAATATTATAATTATAATATTCGATCAATTCTGATTAATAATGCAATTTCAATGGCATTCTTCTTAAATAAGTAGCACCTATAAATATATTTTTATCATATGCAAATAAAAATTATTTGCAACTTCTTACATATATTTAGATTCTCTTTAGATTGCATTCAATAATATTTTTCACTTACTCTTCAATGATTCATATGCATCGCATTTAATCTTATGATTTTACAACACAAATATATATTATTTTAAAATAAAAATTAAAAAATTTTGAAATAGAAATAATTTGAAATTCTAATCAGATTTAAAATAAATATATATCGTTCAAAAATAAAATCTTTATATGAAATTTTCAGTATATTACTTAAGTATATATGCAAAATCGAGCAATATTTTATATAAACCAATTTATAATGCGATGCATGGATTGCAAAAGATGTATATAATTTCATGTTATCGAAGAATAAAATTTAAGTATATAAATAATCTGTATGAAAACAAAGATATAAAAATCCGACAAAATAAATGATAAATGAGATAAAAAGGCTCATCATATTATTCATACAACTTATTTTAATCAAATATAATTTGATGTACACATAGGAATTTTATTTTTATTAAGAAAGATGGTAATTAAACAAGATTCAATTTTATAGATGGATAATAACAATGAAATAAATATTTAAAATTTAATGAACGATTTTTTTTATTTGAAAATTTTTTATAGCAGTTTTAAAAATAATATTTATTAAGTTTATTTATCTTATTTTTCTTATCGAATGAAAACATGATCATTCGCCATAAGAAAATTCACGGCGAGGATATTAATAATACGATATATAAGTATAATTCTAGTGAATTCATGCATATATAGACATAGAAAATCGTCTCGAAGAATTACTCGCGAACATTGTTGCGAAAAGTTTCAATGTGAGTTTATTTTTCAGCAAAGGAATTAATGAAGGATTAATATCGCGATTATATAATCCTTCCCTACGAAAAGGATTTGATGTAGCAAGAGACCGATCGACAACCAGCAAACGGGCCGCGATAATTAATTACGAGCGTGACGTCGCTTTAACGTCGTTAATTTTCATTATCTCGATTGGAATTCGCTTGTAGTGCACCGTGTACCGCTTTCGGGCTTGCTAATTTCGCGCCTCGTCTCGGCCTCTCCGCGGAAAAGGCATTAATAATTCTGGCTGTCCTTGCAAAATTTGTCACCCACCGCGGCCAGGCCGCGGTAACGTTAACGTTGGTCACGCACACCAGACACTTCGCTATGCTATGCTTTCACGGATGCAAGGATCCCAGCAATGCACTTTGCATGTTGTCTGGATTATTAAAGCGAACCAAGTGAAACCTAATTATCGTGGTGCCACTCCTGGCACTGACTCTAGCCGAACGACTAATTTCCACCGCTTTCCTACTGTTTACCGAGGTAACAAAGCAACAACTTTACATTCCCGCCGCTCCCAACCTGTGGGACGACTCTAATCTCTGTAATCTTCACATGTCTACGCGTCAGATGTATCATTACTTATCATCATTTTGCGCTTTTCGTTTTTTATATTTGCGAAGAACTATCAAGGATGAGATAATGAAATAATTGTTAAAAATTATAAATATAGAAATGGTTTCCTAATATCTAGAACACAATTTTCTGAAGGATATAATTTTCATGAAAATATGACAGGTAAAAGTATCAATGACGTATTATTATATTGTTTGTTGTGAAGTATTTGTTGTATAATAAAAATTCTTTTATGCATTTTGTTGAATTTTATCTTTTAATTAATAATGATTGTATTTCTTTCATTCAACGTGTCATTTCGCCGTTTTAACGCTGTACGTTTATCTGATACTTCAACTACAAAGCTGTAGCTTAACTGGGCAACTGTAACCCAACAATTATACGAACGATTGACTAACGAATGTCGATCGGTGAGTGACTCGTATAATGCAATGATTGGCTGTCGCGCTGATTCGGTTGCTGTTACAGATTCAATTACGGCTCCCACGGCTTGATATTTTGCACCGCCGATTGAACGATCCGAAATCGACTGAATAGAACTTTGATCTCCAATCGTCGTTGGTCATGAAATCGAATTAAAGTTGACTATTCGCGTAAATAACAAAAATGATATGTCACGATTCTTATGACTTCTCTATTTAACATATTTTTAATCAAATATTATTTCGATAATATTTTTCTTTATTTATGCAATGTTTTTATATACATTATTTTAATATTTTTTCATGAATTTTTCATCATATAATGTAAACGACGCGATGCGACGCGACGAGACACTTATGTGTTTAACAGTTCGTACATAACCTTACCTTAAGATTAAGTCGTTAAGTTCTATCGTGTGATGATTAATTAAGAGAGTCGCACGACACCGTACCGGTTCGACGAGGCATATATTTCGTCTGTTGACAGGATATTCTAGTGATCAAGCTTCCAGAATTAATTGCATCGTTAAAGTCGTCGAACAATGTCTCGCAATGAGAAATCAATGCTCAAGTGAAGCTTTTTATGTGATATTAACGATGTTTTCGAAATGGATGTTAGCCAAACGAATAGCGAAGCCGATATTTTTAAATAAATAGAGAAGAATTTGAATGTTCAATCCCGTATAGAAGATATTCATATTGACGAATATCTTCGTCAAATGATTCAGCACTGATCTCTTTCCACATCTATCGATTATTATGATGAAATGTAACTTGTAAATATGATATAACTATCGTTTATTTTGTAAATTTGAAGAAACAAGTGAAAACAGATGAACGTAGACTATTAGAATATTTCATTCGTTTATACAATCACAACTCAACTTAACGGGGCGAAAGTTAGACTCGTATAATCTGAATTTAGGCCCCCCATTTTGCGGGTATATTTTTTATTGTAAAAAAATTCATTCTCTTTTATAATAAAAAGTGTTTAAAGTTTTTAGTTATTTATTTATATCTGTTTATTTATTTTAATTCCACGAAACTAAAAATATATTATATTTGTTTTAGAATATTAAAAACATTTTTTCAATTTTAATTACATAATAAAATTTTAATTATATCATTATTGTATTTTTAATAACGATTAATATTAGTTAACATTCCTTTTTTTATAATGATATTTTAATCATAATTTGTTGCACAAATATTCGCTAGGTTGGCGCCCTTGGATGAAGTTAGACGGGCCTGCCGACAAGCTCCAGCATTGGCTGTTTCGCGGGCGTGGGAGCTCTGCAGGGTTCAGTTAGTCTGCACGGGTAATAGAACTGCGCTGGGGGTGAGCATAAGAACGAAGAACGGTTAGTATATCTTCGCGAAGGGTAGGAGCAATAGCCGGTTGGCGCAAGTGCGGCGGGGATATCGTAGCCTGGCGGAGCCCAGTCGAGTCCCGTGAGTCCGGGCAAGCACAGCTATTAAGGTAGTACGTG